AAATATACAGAGTGTAAATAAATTTTTTATTTTTATTTTTTATTTCTTTGATGATATCAAGATAAACTTTAGCTTTATTTAAAGCTTCCGAAGTAATTACAAGAGATCTGTCATCATCATTTTCATACTCATAAATCTCATCTAGTGGTGTAGTAATTATATTAGTAATTATATTAGACCCATCATCATTATATTCATACTTTTCATAAATTTCAGCTTGTGGTGTAAGTGCTTGGCAAAAACTTTAAGAACTTCATAATGAACCAGAATTAACCAAAAGTGTTTGATGCTTCATTAATTAAAGAATAAATTTAATCTCAACAATCTTATGACCTTTGATTAGTGATTTTTATCACAAAACCACCAAAAAACAGATTGTACCGTATTGTCACATGGGGAGTATTATTTCGAATAATGGCCCAAATTAAACCTAATTTAGGCCAAAATTTGAATAATGATTTCTCTATTTTTTAAGAAATGGTGATAGGGGATTTGGAACAGTGTACAGATCAAAGTGGAAATCCAGTGAATTAATAATTGCACTTAAAAAATTAAAAGATTATTTGGATCAGAAAATTTTCTTATTCATATTAGCAAATTTATTACTGTATTAAATCTAGCCCTAGTAGTATTTTAAATTAATAATAATATTTATTATATATTACGAATATAGCACAAATGCTACGTCATCTTAGTTGGCAATTGATGAATTTTTTTTCAGGTGTCTTCGTCTGCCAAATTATTGCTTTATAAGTATTTAAGTTTTTTTTTAATTTCATATCTATTATATTTTTTCATAATGCCATAAATTAGTATTGATCTTTAATTTTGTCTAAATTTATATCGATATTATAATTTTGCCTAAAATTATATTTTAAATTTGCCTGAATTTATATTTTACCTTTCTCTGGAATTATACTTAATTTGTATTTGATTTTCACCCTTACTCATTATTTATGTAACTTTGATTTTTAATCTTATTGTTATATCGATCTACAACTTTTCTAGCTATTACTGTATTATTCATGCTTGAGACTTATTTTTGGCGAAATAATGCAAAGAAAAAGGGGTAACAATTTCGATATTAAGCATGTAGTAGTTTTTTAATTTAAAAAAAAATGTCTCACATTAACTTTGATATTGCTCAAAAGTTGCCGCGAAAGAATGGAAAGAATGGCAAAGGTTTTGAAGATAGAATTATAATTATTTTTATGAATATGTATATAGCATTACGTAGATTTGAGTGAATATTCACTGAGTCATTGTCTAGTTGTTATGCAGCTGAAGTTGCGCTGCCACTAGATGTAAATCATGAGAATGAAAGCTCATTGTGGCCATAAACATGTGGTCAACATGGTTATGAACGTTTTTTTCATGTTATCGAAAAGTCATCTATGGAGTTTCTCTAGAGCTATAGTGAATAGAATATATGAATCGAGAATTGAAAGCTCTTCATGGCCTAATCAAATATGATTATGAACATTCTTCTTAATTCTTGACGATAATGAAGATAAATACTCAATTTTTTTTATTTTGTTTAATCTGATAGACATGCATCAGGCGACAGAGGTATCAATTGGATAGAAGGCTGGAAAGGATATACAATAATTGTTCAATGCAAGGTATAACAGGTGATATAGTAATGATCATTAATCAAATTTTTTAATAATTAGTGATAGAAATTATTAATAAAAATTTTTTTTTATAATAAGCGATAGTTAAATTGCGATGTCTCTTGAACTAATAAATAAAATACATTTACTAGTGTTAAGTCTTCTCTTAATGTGTTTTTTAATGTCATTATCACTAATTATAAAAAAAATTGATTAATGATCATTACTATACACACCCCAAAGGCATATAATCTAATTTAATCAATTTTAATTTATTTTATGATATTAAATTTTTATTTTATAACAATAAGGATTGTGATAAAATTAGACCTAAGATGGTGTATGAATTTGAGGTGTATTGTCAAGATTCAGTAAAATAGAAACCATCAGTATCTTAATAGCTCCATCAATGAATAATTTTACTAAGAAATCATTAGATAGAGTGGAATCATCCGAATTTAATCTTATTCTTACGGATGAACAGTATTTGAGATTATATCTGATTCAATTTGTCGAGAGTAAATGAATTGAATCAACTTAATGTAATGAAGAGTTGATTTGACAAATTGAACTCCTAGGACAAAATAAGAGCTCTAACAAATTTAGAATCATAAATATCATACTTTTATTATATATTTCTTTTATTTTAACTTGTATATATTTT